GGGTGGTTGTTGGTGAGGTAGAAGAGGAGGGTTAGAGGAGAGGGGAAGGTTGTTGGTGAGGAGAGAGGAGGGTTGCAGGAGAGAGGAGGGGTGGTTGTTGGTGAGGTAGAGGAGGTGAGTAGGGGTGAGGTAGAAGAGGGGTGGTTGTTGGTGAGGTAGAGGAGGAGGGGTTGTTGGTGAGGTAGAGGGAGGGGTGGTTGTTGGTGAGGTAGGAGGAGGGTGGTTGTTGGTGAGGCAGAAGAGGGGTGGTTGTGGGTGAGGTAGAGGGGAGGGTTGTTGGGTGAGGGTAGGAGGAGGGGTGGTTAGCAGGAGGGGTAGAGGAGGGGGTGGTTGCAGGTTGTTGGTGAGGTAGAGGGAAGGGTGGTTGCGAGGTAGAGGGAGGTTGTTGGGGAGGAGGGAGGGGTGGTTGTTGGTGAGGGGTAGAGGGAGGTGGTTGTTGGGTGAGGTAGAGGAGGGGGGTTGTTGGTGAGGTAGAGGAGGGGTATAAGGTGGGAGGTAGAGGAGGTGGGGTGGTTGTTGGGGAGGTAGGAGGAGGGGTGGTTGAGGCAGGAGGTAGAGGAGGGGTGGGTTAGGTGAGGTAGAGGAGGGGTGTTACTGGAGGTAGAGGGAGGGGTGGGTTGCAGGGAGGTAGAGGAGGGGTGGGAGTAGCTGGTGAGGTAGAGGAGGGGTGGTTAAGGTGAGGTAGAGGAGGGGTATAGTTGAGAGGGGTAGAGGAGGGGTGGTTGTTGGGTGAGGTAGAGGAGGGGTGGTTGTTGGTGAGGGGAGGAGGGGTGGCTGAGCAGAGAGAGGAGGGGTGGTTGTTAGTAGGGGTAGAGGAGGGGGTGGTTGCAGGTTAGTTGGGTGAGGTAGAGGAGGGGTGGTTGTAGGTTGTTGGTGAGGTAGAGGAGGGGTGGTTGTAGGGTTGTTGGTGAGGTAGAGGGGAGGGTGGTTGTTGCAGAGGTAGAGGAGGGGGTTGTTGTGAGGTAGAGGAGGGTGGTTAAGCAGAGGGAGAGGAGGTTGGTTGTTGTAGAGTAGAGGAGGGGTGGTTGTTTGTTAGGTAGGAGGAGGGGGTGGGTTGGGGTTGTTGGTGAGGTAGAGGAGGGGGTGGTTGTTGGTGAGGTAGAGGAGGGGTACTGCAGAGGTAGGAGGAGGGGTGGTTGTTGGTGAGGTAGAGGAGGGGTGGTTGTTGGTGAGGTAGAGGAGGGGTGGTTGTTGGTGAGGTAGGGAGAGGGGTGTTTGAGGTAGGAGGGAGGGTTGGTTGTTAGTTAGGTAGAGGAGGGTGGTTGTTTGTTGGTAGAGGAGGGGTGGGTTGCAGGTTGTTGGTGAGTAGAGGAGGGTGGTTGTTGGTGAGGTAGAGGAGGGGTGGTTGTTGGTGAGGTAGAGGAGGGGTGGTTGCAGTTTGTTGGTGTGGTAGACTTTTAAACATATAATTAAATAGAAATTATAATACCAATTACACTTTAATAATTACTATAGCAGTTTATATACGCATTATAGGTATATATGAGCAACAATATAATATAAAATACAAAAACAATTGAAATCTATGTATAGAGTATACAGTTTCAGGGTTTTATTTAGTTATATATTAATTACACTTATTACTATTATTGTTGATATCCTCTCATATGTATAAGTTAAGTCTTTACTGTTGTTTTGAGTAACTTGAGATTGAATTGTTTGTCTCAGTATCTAATTTTGAGTTTTATATATTTTTAAGAATGTATCATAATATTATATCACATTAAGATCATTCTAGTTAAAACAAAAATTATGATAAGCTAGTGGTTAGGTTAGTTAGGTTAGGTAGGTTAGGTTAGGTTAGGTAGGTTATCTGAGGTCAGGTGTTGTGTATAAAAGGATTACGTCATCAATTATTTATTTATTTATTTTGGTTGACTAAATAACTTTATTGTTTTTATATTACTATCGTTATCGTCATCAGTTGTATTATTACCATCAGTATCATCATTATAATCATCGTCATCGTCATCATCATCATCACCATCATCATCATCATCATCATCATTATTATTATTACCATCGTTATAATCATCAAAATCATTAATTATTATTATTATTAATACCATCGTTAAAATCATAATATTCATCATCGTTATAATCATCATCATCATCATCATCATTGTCATTATTACCATCGTTATAGTCATAATCATCATCATCATCATCATCATTGTCATTATTACCATCGTTATAGTCATAATCATCATCATCATCATCATCATCCACTATATAATGTGATACCTATAACACCTTGTGACTACTTAACCTGTATCTGTACCTGTATTTGCACCTGTAGTATGACCCAGTTTCTGTACCTTTTCCTGTACTTCCATCGTTGTTCGTATATGCGTCTGTAACTGTATTTTTCCCGTGTCTTTGCTTGTGCAATAGTTTTCGCATGTATCCGTACCTGTATGCTGTACCTGTATACTGTACCTGTACCTGTATGCTGTACCTGTATAACACCTGTATGCTGTACCTGTATTCTGCACCTGTACCTGAATGCTGTATATGTGCCTGTATGTTGTACCTGAATGGTCTACCTGTACCTGTATGCTCTACCTGTACCTGTATGCTGTACCTGTATACTGTACCTGTACCTGCATACTGTACCTGTACCTGTATGCTGTACCTGTATACTGTACCTGTATGCTGTACCTGTATTCTGCACCTGTACCTGAATGCTGTATATGTACCTGTATGTTGTACCTGTATGGTCTACCTGTACCTGTATGCCTCTATCTGTACCTGTGCTGCTCCACCTGCACCTGTATGCTGCGCATTTACCTGTTATGCTGTACATTTACCTGTATGCAATACTTATATACTGTACCTGTCCCTGTATCTGTATCTGTATCTGTATCTGTACCTGTACCTGTACCTGCATGTTGTAACTGTATGCAGTATCTGAATGCTGCACCTGTGCCTGTATGCTGTACCTGTGCCTGTATGATGTACCAATATGCTGTACCTGTGCCTGTATACTGTATCTATACCTGTATGCTGCACCTGTACCTTTATGCTGTATGCTGTATGCTCTACCTGTACCTGTATACAGTACCTGTACCTGTATGCTCTACCTGTACCTGTATGCTCTACCTGTATATTAGCTATACTTGTACCAGTACTATCATTCCCGAATATATAAATCGTTATCCAACTAATTTCACTCCAAGAACATCATATGGAAAACGCTAACTTATATATATATTTTTTTTTACTTTTCCAAAGAACAATAAATACCACAGGATTAATGTTCACTTCATCGTCTAATATTTTGTGAGAGAGCTGAAGTTTTATACTGATTTATTTCCTAGTGTTTCTTGTGATAGGATTAATGTGGAATTTTAATTTTTTTAAGTTCAAGGAAATTATCGTTGTCATTATGTTCAGGTATTGTGCATTTAGGAACGTTAGCTAAGATTTGTATAAGTGCATGTCTAGGTGTATTCAAGTCTGGTTTATGTTCAAGTATATTCAAGAGCTCGTGCATGGCTAGTATTGGTAATGTTCAAGTGCATGCAAGAGCTTGTGTATGACTAGTATTGGTTATGTTCAAGTGCATTCAAGAGCTTGTGCATGACTGGTATTGGTTATGTTCAAGTGCATTCAAGAGCTTGTGCATGACTGGTATTGGTTATGTTCAAGTGCATTCAAGAGCTTCTGCATGACTGGTATTGGTTCATGTTCAAGTGCATTCAAAAGCTTGTGCATGACGTATATTGCATGTTCAAGTGCATTCAAGAGCTTGTGCATGACTGGTATTGGTTATGTTCAAGTGCATTCAAGAGCTTGTGCATGACTGGTATTGGTTATGTTCAAGTGCATTCAAGAGCTTCTGCATGACTGGTATTGGTTCATGTTCAAGTGCATTCAAAAGCTTGTGCATGACTGGTATTGGTGCATGTTCAAGTGCATTCAAGAGCTTGTGCATGACTGGTATCGGTTCATGTTCAAGTGCATTCAAGAGCTTGTGCATGACTGGTATTGGTGCATGTTCAGGTACGCTCAAAGTCCTTTTACCTGTAGTTAATCTTATTAAGTGAGTCGACCAAGGACGATGACCATATTTTACACAACTTATTTATTTTACATTTCTCTCTTCACTGCATTCCGTCACAGTTAAGAACCTCGACTGGGTAGTGTTTTTAAATGGTAGTTTACACTCCAACTATCATGGTGTGTGTGTGTGTATGTGGGTGTGTGTAGTTCTGTCTGTTTATCTGTCTGTCTGTCTGTCTGTCTGTCTGTCTGTCTGTCTGTCTGTCTGTCCAGCTTTCGTTAATGTAAATCATCAAATAAATCAATAACACAGACACACCAGTTAAATATGTATATACCTATACATATATACCATTTGCATGTGGTATATACGTACATGAATTAGTATAACCTCCAATCTTTAACTCTAGCAGTTGGTCGTCAGTCAGAAGTCGTCTCTACACCACCACTAATCACTAATTCAGGCAGGTGGGTGAGTGGGTGCCACCTCTGACTGGTCGTAGATCCAGTCACCAGTTAGGAATTCTTCAGTTATATTAATGTGCATTGTTAGTATGTGAACATGTAGATGAGCGTGTGTGTACATGTTTGTGTATGAAAGAGAGCGTGTGTACATGTTTGTGTATGAAAGAGAGCGTATGTACATGTTTGTGTATGAAAGAGTGCGTATGTACATGTTTGTGTATGAAAGAGAGCGTATGTACATGTTTGTGTATGAAAGAGAGCGTATGTACATGTTTGTGTATGAAAGAGAGCGTGTGTACATGTTTGTGTATGAAAGAGAGCGTATGTACATGTTTGTGTATGAAAGAGAGCGTATGTACATGTTTGTGTGTGAAAAAGAGAATGCGCGCGTTTTTGCATGGATGTGTGTGTGTGTGTGTGTGTGCGTGTGTAGGGAAGAGCATGTGTACATGCTTGTGTGTGAGGGAGAGAACATGTGTACTGTACATGTATGTGTGAGAAAGAGAGCATGTGTACATCAAACTAAATTATTCTGTTCCAAGTTTATTTAACAATGTAGAGGACATAATTATACTTATCATATAACACATAAGGTCTACTAACAGCATCGCTTGTGGTAGTTGACTAGAGCGACATCCTTAACCTAATTATTTCTGTCTGGAGGGAGGGGGGGGAGGTGAGGTCATAGGGAGGAGGGGGGAGACGGAGAGGGGAAGTGAGTGGGGAGGGACTGGAGGAATAGGGGAGTGGGTTACAGCCCGGTCTTGTGATCTGGATAATACACCAGTCTGGATTATTATTTATCCTGGATATTTTCTCATAACTGGGTAAGCGAGTGACGTGGATAAGGTTAAATTAGGTCAGATTCAGTTAAGATAACAAACTAACATCACCCACGTAGAGTTCTTCGCCTCAGTAATCTCATGGCGGCAACAACAGCGATTTGAGTCAAAATACTGGCACTCATCCAATCAGAAACAAGATACTTCTTCTCTCATCCAATCAGAATTAAGATACCGACACTTTCGTCTAATCGGATGAAGCATATAGACGCGGGGAATCAACTTTTTTTTATAAAGAATACGAACAAGAGCCCTTAACGGTTCATCCACTCCAGGATTTTGTTAATTATTGATTCTTTATGTCATTGCTATGTACAGGAGGAGGAGGAGGGGCCGTTAGAGTTGATTATCCATTCTATAAATACATCTGTACATAAATAAGAAGTTTTAAGTAAATCTAGAAGCTTGTGTTGTTGTCTACACTAGTGATGGCCTAATCTATCTTTGTACACTGAAAACGGAATATTCATTGTTACATCCGACATCAATATATGGGTGAGGGAGGGTTGGAGGAGGAGGTGGGGAGGGTGAGGGAGAGGACCGAGTTTTAGTTCAGTGGGAGGTTTTATGGGGATCGTTGGGGAGGTCTGGTGACGCCCTGACACGGAGATCGGCAGGTGAAGGGCAGTGTGGGGGGGACGGGGACGCTGAGGATCGTAGGATACCTCCTAGGGGCCGCCCCACGTCCCCCAAGGACATCTCGATGTCCTCTTGTTCCCGGGGCGTCGGGGATGTGGACATCAGCCGGGCATCAAGAGGGAAGAGTCGACCCTCCAGTTTGCCAGGATCCGTCTTCAGCAGGTCCGTGCGATCAAGTCTTAGTGCATCTGGTCTCAGCTCTGATCGCAGGAGTTCTGGCCTCATAGCCTCCGGTCTCAGTGCCTCTGGTCTCAGAGCATCCCTGAGAGGGTCAGAGGTCATGTGAGGTAACATGGGCAAGCCGGGAGGATATAGACGGTAGGCCAGTGGCTTCTGTAGGGCGGCGGCTGCGGCGGCCTGACGGTAGTACAAATCCACGGACGCGGCGGCGGGACTTAGGGCGGCGGCGGCTGCAGCTGCAGCTGCGGCTGTCGACGGCTGTGGAGGGTAGGGCCATCCATATGAGGGACCGTAAAGCCTCTGTAGGGCGGCATAGTTGCCAGCCTCCGCCAGAAGTTCCAGACCTACGGCCGTCTGGCGCTTCCACTTGGTCCTACGGGAGGAGGAGGAAGTGGTCAGCCAGATGGATCATGGTTAAGTTATCCTCTCAGTACAATGTCTAAATGTACATGAACTTTTACTTGGTATTCCTAAAACTGGTGTCTCAAAAACTAGGTAGCCTTAAACCGGTGACGACCTAAAACTGGAGGCATTGAACCTGTGAGGCCCTAAAACTCTGGGATCCTAAAATTGTGTGTACCTAATACGGAGGCCCTAAATGACGTAAAACTCTAAACATTTAAGGTCCTGGTAAAAAGCAGCCCTATAGTGGAGGGGGTCTATGAATGAACAGCCCTAAATCTTTAATTTTGTAAAGCTCAAGTAACCTTAAAATTAGCTACTACATTTATGAAACAGTGAAAACTATGAGCCTCATTTTGAACATTGGTTAACAAAAGAAATTACTAACTTATGAATAACGAGCCTCAAAGATCTCAGGTACCTGACCTTGAACTTCTTGAGAAGGAACACCGCCACTACGGCGAATACGAGGACTGAGTGGAAGGATTTTATAGCGTAATTCAGAGTTTTAAGTGAGTAGTCCAGATAGATCTTTCGGTGTCAAACGTTAACTTTGGTTGCATTAACTCACACTGCGTTAAGTCTCAAGGTGTTGATAGTCCGTTAATGTGGTGATCTTTTGTTATATCAACCTTCACTACGCTCATTCGTTACGTTAATTCATATTTTGTAAGCCCCCGGTGAGTGAGTTGATGTATGTAAGGTCACTGTGTTAGTGTAGTTACCCTTGATCTGTTTACTTATGATAGTTTGGGTTAGTGAGTTAACCTGTGGTGTGTTAAATTAACCTATGATCTGTTATAGTGCCTGGGAACACTCCCCTTCTATTCTAGTAGCAGACACTCACCGTCTGTTCTGGTACCAAGTCTTGACCTGGGTGTCGGTCAGGTTCAGCTTGGCAGCCAGCTCCATGCGGTCCTGCACACTAAGGTACTTCTGACGCTCGAAGCTCTTCTCCAGCGTCTGAAGCTGGTGGTCTGTGAACGCCGTCCGCGCCTTCCTCTGCTTCTTGGCCGCGGGGCCACCGTCGTTACCTGGGGAAGAGTCACAGGTCACAACATTACATCAACCTGACCAATATAGTAATCAAAACCCTTCCTGAAGTATTCAACAACGTTTTCATTTCACTAAGTTACTGACGCCAGTACGCGAAGCCATAATATCTAGTGTACGAATTCACTTTTCCTGCTTGTTCAAAAACCTTAGTTGTTGAAGGAGAAACATACACCGAAAAAAAAAACAAGATCTCATTCTACAGGTTCTGAGATATTAATGATAATTGGAAAAGCGAAAACTGCCATGATTAAACCACAGCCGATGAGACTCGCAGCTGAATGGTAGAGAGATAAAACATAAAGAAAGAATAAAGAAACAGACGGGATCAAAAACTGCGAGACAGAGATATTAGACAGAAGGACCAACGCACAAACAACAACATTAAATTCAGACAAAGGCCAGGAATTACATAGAGCAGGTGACCTCGAGACCAGATAATGAGAAGGAAATAGGACCAAAATAGATGATGAGGGAGGCGGTGATGTTATGGTATTGGTGGGAACAGTGGAGGAGGAGACCTGAGAAGACCTTGACAGATAGACAGACAGACAGAAGAAAACAAAAATTGAGAAACAAGATATATCGAGTTATAAAAAAGGGGGAAAAGAGAGATAGAGAGATAGAGAATGATAGAAAAATGATAGAAAATGAGAGAGAAAAAGAAAAGAAAAAGAGAGAAAGACTGATTGATTTTAAGTAAAGCTACACGACCCCTTGACGATAAACCAACAGCAGGATGGCAGAAGAGAGAGAGAGACATAGCGTGAAGGATTAGTCCCCAGCACAACCCAGCCACCAGTGAAAGAGGAATCTGACTTAAGGAATATTCTCCACCACTGATAAAGAGGTTCACTTATCTCTACGATCTGTCTTGGATATATATATGAGGTCACGGCCGTTCTCTACATTGTCAGGGCTTTGTTAGGTCGAGTTCCGTGTTGTGGGTGTTGTTGTTCAGAGACTTAAAGAGACGAAAGGATTAAGTGGTGAGAGGAAAGATAGTGATCATTATTTTCATTTACAAGAGTATAGTGTCGGATTCTGTCGTGTGGTAATTGTGGTAGAGGGATGTTTCTTTGAGGTTGTTGCTGTGGTAGGTTAGGTTAGGTTTGCTTAGGTTAGGTTAGGTTAGGTTGGGTTAGATTAAATTAGGTTGGGTTAGGTTAGGTTAGGTTAGGTTAGGTTAGGTTGGGTTAGATTAAATTAGGTTGGGTTAGGTTAGGTTAGGTTACTTAATGCAGAGCCTGAGTAATTGAAGTTAAGTCAGTCTGATTAAAGCCTGGTTAGCTTAGATAAGGTTAAGGTTAGTTAAACGCAATATTAGGTAAGTTGAAGTAAGGTTAGTGTGTCAAATTTCAGCACACTGTCTTAAAAATCATGAGAGATATAAAAATGATCAAATTACTGTTGATAAAAGAAGAATTTGTTTCCTTTATCATAAAAATACACTGTAGACCACATCTCTTCCCCCCCTTCCTCGTCTCCCTCTCCCTTCGTCTCCCCCCCTCCCCTCCTCTCTCTCTCTCTCTCTCTCTCTCTCTCTCTCTCTCTCTCTCACACCTTCCACCCACACCTCCTCCTCCCCCCTCGTACCCACTCCCCTACATAATCTTCGCACTCAGTCGGTATCAAATTATTACATGAAATAACATAACACCAAACAAGGTCGGGTGGGGCATTTTATTTATTTATGTATTTATTTATTTTATTTTACAGTCGCAGGTGTTGTTCCCTTCAGCCATCACACACACACACACACACACACACACACACACACACACACACAAAGTGAGCTCCACGATAGGTGTAAAAACGCGACTTATGTGGTGAAGGAGGAGGAGGGGGAGAGGGGGGGTAAGGTGAGTCAATTAGGGTGTTCCGTCTTGGTAAAGGAGGAAGGAGGAATTAAGTGAATGTTTGGATGAGTGTATTGTGAATATATCTAAGTCTCTCTCTCTCATATGGAGTACTCAGTGGGTCTCCGGAGGCCAAGTTGATGAATTATACAGATGTTCAATTTCCTCATTTTCGCGGAAGGTTCCTAATATACCACAGGTGTCCATGAGGTTCAACACCCACCTGGAGGCGACCTGTATATTGAGAGTATTTTCAGGTGACAGGTAGAAGTGGGTCCCATATGCTTTGACGATTCATTAGGGAGAGTGCAAAATCAGGTCCCCAATTACAGCTGGGTGAACTGTGGGGGGGTGGGGGTTACTCCGAGATCGAACCATTGATCATGAGGACGGGAGGCGATCGCTGTATATACACTCAGCCACTACGGTATTCAGTATTCACGTCGACGAGTATTAATTAATTTAAGGGTCATATTAGTGAGTGTACAGGTGGACTGATTATTTCATTTTGAACCTGTCAATGTATAGGAGACTTTAATGGTGTGTCTATGTGTGTGTATAGGAGACTTTAATGGTGTGTCTATGGCTTGGCTTGGCTTGTTTGGAGATTACTGGCCATTACGCCTTTCGGCTATTTCGGCCGAAGCTGTTTTTTTTCTGAGTCGTTTTCTTTGGACTTCTTCCTTTTGTTCTTTTTGCTTTTCAATTGCCATTCTTCTTCTTGGTCTTGTTGTGGTATATTCTCTTAAAAGTCTAAAAACGGTGATGATTTTAATGTTACTGAATCTGGCTTTTTTGTCTTTTCTTCGGTCTTGTTTAATTCTGGCCTCTTTTCTGTGGTCTTGTTGGGGTCTTGATTCTTATTTTCTTCGGTCTTCACTACAAGGAGAGCCTCCTTGTAGCTCATTTTTTTCTTGCTTCGCAGCTTAGCCACCCTACACTCCTCCCTCCACTTGGGACAAGGTCGGAGGAGGGGTGAGGGCCACCACAAGCTGCACATTTCTTGGCTGCCGCCGAGCAGTTGGTGTCCTGGTGCCCGGGTGTCCCGCAACTGCAACAGACCTCCCGAGCTCGACACTTCCCTGCCAGATGGCCGTACCTCTGGCATTTGTAACACCTTGGTCTTCTTTCATACGGTCTTACTGGGATGTTCTCCCATCCCAGCAATACGGTGCTTGGTACCTTCTTGGGGTAGCCAACCAGTGCAGTTGCGCTGGTCAGCTTCCGTACTATTGAGAGCTGGTCTCTGATCAGCTAGGCCAGTTCTTCTTTTTCAAGGTGTTCTATCTCGGTGTGGGAGATGACACCCAACACCAAGTTATCCTCTGTGTGAGCTTCTACTAGTATCTTGATTCCGTTAATTTCTGTTATGTTGGCTATTTGCTGGGCCTGTCCCCATTCCGCGAAGGTGACGATAAGGCCACCACTCACTGGTCTGCGGACGACCCTTGTCACCCCCATGATTCCTAAGGAGTCTAACAACTTCCTTAGGACAAGGAGGTTTAGTTGCTTGGGCGAAGGGCATGTGACTGGATACAGTCATACGACCTTCGCCTGGTCACAGATCAGCCTCATCGTCAGGTTCACGTAGTACCTCGGGAGCACAGAAGATCTTGCCTCGCTGAGGTGCAGTCTATGTGTGTGTATAGATGTTAATAGTGTGTCTATGTGTGTATAGGAGACGTTAATAGTGTGTCTATGAGTGTGTATAGGAGACGTTAATAGTGTGTCTATGTGTGTGTATAGATGTTAATAGTGTGTCTATGTGTGTATAGGAGACGTTAATAGTGTGTCTATGTGTGTATAGGAGACGTTAATAGTGTGTCTATGAGTGTGTATAGGAGACGTTAATAGTGTGTCTATGAGTGTGTATAGGAGACGTTAATAGTGTGTCTATGTGTGTACAGGAGACGTTAATAGTGTGTCTATGAGTGTGTATAGGAGACGTCTATAGCATGTCTATGAGTGTATAGGAGACGTTAATAGTGTGTCTATGTGTGTGTATAGATGTTAATAGTGTGTCTATGTGTGTACAGGAGACGTTAACAGTGTGTCTATGTGTGTATAGGAGACGTTAATAGTGTGTGTCTATGTGTGTGTATAGGAGACGTCAATAGCAATGTCTATGAGTGTATAGGAGACGTTAACAGTGTGTCTATGTGTGTACAGGAGACGTTAATATGTGTGTCTATGAGTGTATAGGAGGCGTTAATAGTGTGTCTATGTGTGTATAGGAGACGTTAATAGTGTGTCATGTGTGTACAGGAGACGTTAATAGTGTGTCTATGTGTGTATAGGAGACGTTAATAGTGTGTCTATGTGTGTGTATAGAGACGTCAATAGCATGTCTATGAGTGTATAGAGACGTTAATAGTGTGTCTATGTGTGTGTATAGGAGACGTTAATAGTGTGTCTATGTGTGTGTATAGGCACAGTGGCCTATGTGTATTAGAGACGTTAATAGTGTGTCTATGTGTGTGTATAGGAGACGTCAATAGCATGTGTATGGAAAGTGTATAGAGACTTAAAGTGTGTCTATGAGTGTACAGGAGACGTTAATAGTGTGTCTATGTGTGTGTATAGGGAGACGTTAATAGTGTGTCTATGTGTGTATAGGAGACTTTTAAAGTGTGTCTATGAGTGTACAGGAGACGTTAATAGTGTGTCTATGTGTGTGTATATAGAGACGTTAATAGTGTGTCTAAGGAGTGTACAGGAGATAATAGTGTGTCTATGAGTGTATAGGAGACGTTAATAGTGTATCTATGCGTGTACAGTATACGCTTAATAGTGTGTCTTATGTGTGTGTATAGACGTTAATAGTGTGTCTATGTGTGTGTATAGGAGACGTTAGTGTGTCTATGTGTGCGTATATTAATAGTGTGTCTATGTGTGTATAGGAGACGTTAATAGTGTGTCTATGTGTGTACAGGAGACGTTAATAGTGTGTCTATGTGTGTATAGGAGACGTTAATAGTGTGTCTATGTGTGTGTATAGGAGACGTTAATAGTATGTCTATGTGTGTGTATAGGAGACGTCAATAGTGTGTCTATGAGTGTACAGGAGGCGTTAATAGTGTGTCTATGAGTGCACAGGAGACGTTAATAGTATGTCTATGTGT